GAGGGGGCCCGGCCCCACCCCAAGATGCGCCTCCCTCTCACCGGAGGAGCAGGCGCAGATGCTCCTGGTCCCCGATCACGTCATACTTGAGCGAGAAAACCAGGTGTCCCAGAGCCGCGTCCACCGAGTAGTAGTTGAAGTGCTCCTGGTCAGGCACAAGCCAGAAGGGGACGTATGAGGGTCTACTGCCCCTGATCCTGGAGGCTCCACCACATCATTGCCATGGAAAGCACGCACCTGCCCAATTCCTTTTTAAAACTGCCCACGTGGGTGGGAAGCCATCGCTTTGAGTGAGGAGCTCCCCCAAGAAACCCCCTACCCTCCGTTCCACGAGACCGTGCTGCACCAACGCCCACCAGGAAGAGCAAACAAGGCTTCCCCTGTTCACGTTCGCCGTTCCTACCTCTTGTGCCCCCTCGCTCTTTCTCCGTTCCGTTTTCCTCCTTTCTCCCTTTGCCAACCCTTCCCTGGGAGGGCCATCGCACGCCGGGACCCCTCCTCTCACTGCCTTCCCCAGGGCTACGGGGCCCCTTCCGGCCACAGAGCCATGGGGCAGACGAGCAAAAGGCAGAGCCGGGCGGATTACTGGAGGGGAGGGAACGAGGCAGCGCCTGGAGGAGAACAGCCAAGAGGCGCCCCCTCCTCTTCCAGCTTTGCTGCTCTCATCCGGCTTGCCTTAGAGGAAGGGGCTCTGGCAGGGGCGGGCACGGCCCCTCTGCCTGGTGCTGGCTTTCGAGAGCGCCTTCCAAGGCCAGGGCAGAGGGGAGAAGGGCCCAGCCCCACCCAGCAGGCCAAACAGCTGGAGCAAAGGTGCTCCCCTCCCTGCCATTATGGCTGCCCCACCCAGAAGGCACACAGACTGGTTCCTTCTTGGCAGACCCGGGAGAGCAACTGGCGATTCCTCTGGACGCGGAAGGCGCGCGTGCACCCACAGGCCTCCGGTGATTCCAGCTGAGGATCCCAGAAAGCTGCAGGCGTGCCTGTGGCTGCTGGAGCTCACCGTGCCCCTCCTTGGCGGGCCCCGCAGAAAACTATCCCCCTCCACCCTGTGGCCCCGCTAATGCCCCGCCAAACAGCTCCCAAAGCGAGCCAACAGCAGGGCCCCGAGATTCAGGAGATCCACTACGGAATCCCTCCGCGAAAAGGAAGAGGGGCCGAGGAAGGAGAGCATAAACGGGGCTGCTCCAGGCTGGCTCCCGCTGGTGCATTTTTGGCATTCCTCTAAGAGGCAGGCCCGGGCGCAGCAGGAGGCTGGAAGGTCGCCCTGGGCACTGCAGCCCCGACGCCTCTGCGGGGCCTGGCCCTGGGAGGCAGCCTTGAAGAACCCTTTGGGGACCGGGGGGCGATACGCCTCGGGCAGGAGGGCTGGGCAC